GCGGGGCTCGAGGCCGTCTGAAGGGGGTGGGTGCGTTGTTGTCGCTATAGCAGCATAAAAGGGACTTGGAAGAAACGTCTTGGCACGGGCGTGACGTTCAGGAGCTGACGCTTCTATCAGTTAAATGCTCCTTGTAAGAAGTTCCTTCTTGCATTGCACGGATTCTACTCAAAAACCAACTGTGCGAATACCTTCTGTGATAGCGAGTGGGGGCGGTTAATCCTTACCTTAAAGAAGAAGCTGGGTTTGGTACAAGAGTCTGGTCAGAAGGCTCAGACCTCTTACACATGAGTTCCTGAACACGTTAACTTTATTGGGTAAACTTTTTTTTTGAATAAAGCCTTTCACTCTATTACAGTGATGGTAAAAGTGGATAGCCTGCAACTAATCTTTGTCCAGACCTTAAATCTGTGCACAAAATGACTGGTAAGATGAAAATCCACTTGAAAGTTCTTTTGGGATGATCTAGCTAATATAGTGTGGAATCAAATTATTCTAGTTAAAGGGCTTGGCCATCACTTTCCATTTGTAATTCCAATCTCATGTCTACTTGCATTATTTTAACTTGTTTTCATTTTGAGTATTACTGATACGAAGTGTTGGCACACAGAAGGAGCAACGTGGTGTGGTCTACTAAGAAAGCTCTTACAGTAAAATCTCACATAGGATTTTGCATGCTGTTCAGACTGTGGTTGCTCTTCAGAGGAGCTAGCTTTTTGTCAGTCTTCACTGCTGCACAGCAACTGAAAACTATTGATCTGGAAGTCAGATCCTGAAGACTAGCTTGTGCCAAACGACTGAGCTAAAGGGTCAGAAGTGAGCATGTGCAGCAAGACTAGAATTTCTCTTTAATTAGAAGGCTGCTTCTGCTTTTATTGTAAATAGGTTAGAGCTCGATCAGTGTCTGAACTGAATTCCACATATGGCAAGCTTGAGTCTTTCTTAGTCTTGCCTTCAGTTTGTTGTTACTTGCAGCTGAAGGGGTGCTTTTAAAAAAAAAAAAAACAAACAACTTTTCCAGGTGTGAGACTTAATCTGAAGGACTTGTCCCCAGCCTTGTGTTGTTTCACACTTTTGTACGGTTTCATTTTTACCTTGAAAATACTGCTAAGGAAATAGACTTTGTTTTTCATTTCTTCTTAGCCGTGGAACTGAGCCTTATTATGTGGAGAGTTGCTGGTTTTGGGTATTCTGGTGTCTGGTGTGAGGCAGAGTGGGAGAGTGGTGCACTGGGAGAGCTGGGGAAGTGCAAGAAAGATGGGGTATTCAAGCATCTAACAAGGCTGAAGGAATTTAGGTGGCAAAAGCAAGGTGAAGACAAAAGCATATGTTCTTCCATTATGCTTCACAGCACTGTTATCTTGGCATTTTGTAATGGTTTCTTGGGTATCCAGCAGTAGAAAGAAGGCTCTCCTGCATTATTTCAGACTGGTGTGGTTTTTGGTGAGGCTAGGAGAGCCAGGCTACCCTGGAGAGATCGAGGGGCAGTTCTCTTTAAATGACAAAACCAAAGCAAAGTCAACAGCTTTACGAACAGGTTCTCTTGTAACGATACTATCTCAGGTGTGCTGCCTCTGTGTAATCCTCACCTTATTAACTGGGGTAGAACTGCTGGTGATTTGGCAGCATGCAGCCAAAAGACTCCCAAGTTTTATTTTAACAATTTGTATTAAGGGAAAACTTGCTCCAAGAAATCCATGCACTATTCAGTGACAGGTAAAACAGCAAAGACCACTGAAGGAGCAAGCAGATACAGCCGACTTGGAGGCTGCTCTGCATTTCACGCTACAGAAGAGTACAAAATGGCTGTCTCCACTCAGCTTTCTTAACAGTGTGCTTGTGACTGGCTGACCAAATGGAAGGTGGTGAGGGAAGATTCTTCTGCCCAGCGCAATCTGTGTTTCAGTGTGCACCAGCAGATTGTCTCTGTTCTAGAGTTCCAGAGTTCCAGAACATATTGTTAATGCATTTTTCTTCAATCTGTGTTTGTGTGCACCAGCAGACTGTCTCTGTTCTAGAGTTCCAGAACATATTGTTAATGCATTTTTCTTAAAATGGGGTACATTACTCAAATAGAAATTATTTGTTTTCCTCAGAATATGCAAGAGAGCAAAATTTTTCACATCTCTTAGTAAATTAGTGTCGTCTTAAACATTGAGCTGTACTGTGAAAAGCACCCATAAGAAAATGGTTCACTTAAATATGTTGCCTAGTGCTTAAAAAAAGTCTGCCACACCTGGAGAAGAGGCTTTGCAATGCTAGTTAAATCACCAAGCTGAGGTTCAAGAATATGAAGATTCACATAGCTGCCATCCAGGTTTTTTTTTTTGACCCTGAGGATATAGTTTAATGTCAAAACTAACTGACTACAATTGCTTGCTGCCACAGAAAGGTGTTTCTGGTTTTTTTTCTTCCCTTGTCCTCCCTGCCCTAACAGCTCCATCGCTAGTGTTTTCTACAAGCTAAATCAGGTCAGTGATAAATTTACCTACTGAAACTGTTCTTCCCTTTCTTTGGTGGGCTAACTTTATGTTTATGGATCAGGTGTTACAGTAGCACACAAGGAGTGTGGTCATTTAATTGATCCAGTGGGAAAAGCTGAGAATGCCCCATAGACTCCCACTAAATTACATCAAATTAGGTGTAATGTAAAATCAAACACTGGTTTCTGACAAGTCGGGTGCTGGGGACAAGATGGCAGGGGAGTGTTAAATAGGGCCAGCACCTGAATGCGGTGGTGAACTAAGTCTCCTGTAGTCAGTGTGGCTAAGGCAAGACATCCCTAAAGTAACCACAACTGTTGGCTTGTTGGCTTGCGTGTACTGTGACTTGGATTTTAGGCAAAAGGATCACACTGAGTATAGCTGTCATCTAACACTCGCTGAAACTGTGCTTTAAAGAGTGCTACAGTGTTAGGTACAGGTGGAAGTCCAGTAGTGGGGACCAGGGTGCAAATTTTAAGGCTGTAAGTGCCTAGAATAAAAAGAACTACAAGCAAGTCAAAGAATGCAACATAGCCTCGAGATCAGGAAGAGGAAACGGGAATGCTGCAGTAGGCTAAACAGTGATCGGTGAATTAAACTACTAAGATAAGATGGGGCTACTAGGTGGGTGTTCTGATGAAGAACATAATTTCCTGTGACAATGGAGTCTTAGGGGAGTTTTTCTTGCTTCTATGTTGTCAGTCATCTTGATGCTCTGAAAGATGTTACTGTCCTGCGAGTGGCAGAAGAGCAGAATGCATATGCTTAAAACTCCCAACAAACCCTGCAAGACATGAGTGCAAACCCATCTTCACCAGTAGTCTTAATGATCACTGATGTGTGAACTGGGGTAACCAAGGGCCATGAAACTGCTTCATCTCCTGTAGCTGGATTTAACAAGTGTGATAGCGCCCGAAGGGAGAAAGAAGAAATCTATGCTTCATAGTTCAAAACTGAATTCAAACTGATTTCTGACAGCTTTATAAAGCTGCATTTTTTTCTCAAGGATTACTCTTCACACCCTATCCTTATCTTAAGAGCAACTAGATAGACATTTTCTGATCCAAATTAACTTTCTGGCCAGTAGCTGTTTTCTTACCAGCCTTTTAGTGCATATAGTGACTGTATCTGATGTACTGAGATTATATACTTAATGCCAGTTAAGGGAAGAAGTTACTTGCAAGTTAAAGTATTTTACCTCTTATCAAAGCAGCTTGATTCATTATTCAGGCAGAACTGCAGTGAAGACAAGTTTGTAAAAGAGAGAACTAGACATCTTTAGGATGTATTACTAAGTGCAGATATTTTCACTCCTTGCTCCATTAAGTTCCTTGAAGTTTCAAAGATTAATTAGGAGGCAGAAACTAAAGGAAGAAGTTTGTAATTATACCTATTTAGGAGTATTAAAGAGGGCAACTTCTGTTATTGATGTTTTGCCTAGTGATGAGAGGTTGGATTTGACTTAAAGAATAAATGTTGTTGGCTCTCAGGTTTGTTGCTGTTAGGTACCAACTGAGGATCTGTGTCTAGAAAAAGGTAAATAACAAATAAAGCTGTAAAATGCCAGCATTTTTTTACTTACTTTGAATGTAGAATGCCAAATGCTGCCTTAACAACCAAAGTATTCAGTTGGTTTTTTCCAGTTGTTTCATAGTTTCCCCCTGGAGTTCTGCAGTCATGTTTAAAGTTGGCTCACAAGCATAAACGTATGGCTAATGAGCTTGTCTGTTGTTTTGTTCAAACGAGGCTGCAGTGAAATGCAACACTATACAAATGTAAGCTTGTAGAAATTCTGTATTCAATACTTAGTGTCATTGCTCTGTATTCTTTTCAACACAGCTGGTGAAAATGGCTGAAAATGGAGATGGTGAAAACATGTCTATTTTGGAAAGCAAGATCTGTCAGCAAATTGAGGTAAGTTCAATTTATAGTTTGGGATCTGGACTGAGATGTTTTGGAGACATTCATTGATAGGGACTTGGCTAATGGGAAGCTAAATCATAGGGAGTTAGACTTGAATCTTCAGCTTTTTAAAAAAATGTCTGCCACAGGTCTATGACAGGTATTTAATGCTTGAAGATAATTCACAATTGTAGTCTAAGTTGGAAGTTACACTCGTCCAGAGTTGCCTGTAAGACATCTATTTAAAACCACAAAATGTTATTTAACTTGCTAGTGTTTTAGATGCCATAGCAAGTGAATGTATCATTAAACAATTTATTACAATTTCACTGGGGTTATTCTATCTATGCAAATAGGAAGATGCATTTTAGTTCTATATGACTTAATTTTTGGGGGGAAAAAATTCATCCTAAGCAATCTGTGCTGGTCAAAATATTGACACATTGCATAACTTGCTATTATGATTTACTGCTTTGTAATTTATTGCTACAAATTACAACTAAACTTATGTGCCTACTTTGTATTATTTCTTACTGTAAGGCTTGGAGGGTTACCCTACAATGGAAAACTGAGCACATCACTTAAAATGACATCTAGAACAAAACCAATTTCCTGAAGGACAAAATTACAGCTGTGTGAATCCCTGTTAGCATATGGAACTGTAGTCATCACTTATGGGGGGAAAAAACACCACACTCAACAGATTGAGGAAAAATAGTTAACAAAGCTACTAGACTTGTGGTAATGTGTGTTTGAGGTATACTAGAGGGAGAGGTGTTGTTGTAAAACTTGCACTGACGTTTTAAAGCACAGTGATAGTGGTGGAAACACTCCAGTTTACCCTATGGCTTCAAGTATTTGACCCTAGTTAGAGGGCTGCTAGTAAGCAAAAGAATCTGCTTAACTTGTCTGTCTTGTACTGAATTGTCTTCCCATGCTAGACATGATCAAAATGAGAACACAGTAAATTAAAATAAAAACAATTTTTTTATCTTACAGTATTTTCTTGAATGAGACCTAGAACCTCTAGTCTATGTGTATGATTTCTTGGTGTGGCAAATACAATATTCTTGCTCATGTGTTCCTAAAGTAAGAACTAAAACCTGAATCTGATGGTGACAAATTTGACTTTTGACTCTGCAGAGCTTGATCATGTTGATGAATAATGATATTAACAGAATAAGCTTCACGCCCTTCCTAAACAAAACTGCAGTCTGCCTTTGCCTCATTAGTCCCACTGGATGAAGCCCTGGGGTTTTTTACAGCTTTTGTGTTGCAGCTAACTTCTAGAAAAGTGTCACATTAAAGCAGGAAGCAATAATTTCAGATCTTCTAATTGTTCAGATTAATGAATTTTGGTATGTCTCAATCCACTGCAGTGATTTGTCAGATGAAAGGAGCTTTTAAGACTAAACATTCAAGGACAAATCTCTCTTCCTGCCTCCCTTCCCTGTCTTTTTTACAGTACTATTTCGGCAATCACAATCTACCAAGAGACAAGTTCCTAAAAGAACAGATCAAACTAGATGATGGCTGGGTGCCTTTAGAAGTAATGATCAAATTCAACAGGTAAAACAAAGTACAACTAATCTGGATGGAAGGGTAACTTTGAGCTACTTACCTCTATTTGGGGCCAAATCTCCCTGGTCTGCATGTACAAACCCTATTGCTGTTTTAACATATGGCTTCAGCTTTGCCCTGTGTCTTTGTAATAGAACCTGTGTCTGCTTAATCAATAGGTTAAGTCGCCTTTCAAAAGATTTTAGTGTTATTGTAGAAGCACTAAGAAAATCCAAGACTGGTTTAATGGAAATAAATGAAGATAAAACTAAAATCAGAAGATCTCCAAACAAACCCCTTCCTGAATTAAATGACCAATATAAGGCTGCAATTAAAAACAGATCTGTATATGTTGTAAGTAAACATCTTCCTTTGCTCTGTGCTGTTCTGTGTGACTTTGACTGAAAACCATCTAAGTAAAACTTGAATTAACTCATACTAGATAGATTATAATTTCTGACTTAAGTGTCAGTTTGTTGCATATAATTAAAGCTTGTTGCTGTCTTGCAGAAAGGCTTTCCACTAGATGCAACTCTTGATGATATCAAAGAATGGCTTGAGGATAAAGGTCCAGTTGAAAACATTCAGATGAGGAGAACATTGCAGAGAACATTTAAGGTAGCTCTTGTGATGAATAGTTAGACTTGGGGCAAGGATCTGCCCAGGACAACATTCTACTAAATCACTCTAACACTGAGTATCTCTTACCAGGGCTCAATATTTGCAGTTTTTGATAGCGTTGAATCTGCTAAGAAGTTCACAGAGATCCCAAACCAGAAGTACAAAGACACAGAGCTGATAGTACTTTTCAAGTAAGTCCACTTAACTGATGTATGAACTAATAATGGTCAGGGGTGGATTTAGACAAGAACCTGGCTTGACCTGAAAAGTTAAGTTTCTACACTGTTGTACAGGTATTGACAGCTGTCCCTTTTGGAGACTAGTGTCTCACCTCCGAAAGATAGTATCAATTGTTTCTTTGCTATTGCTTTCTTATAAAGTAATTATAATGGAAAACTTGAAGTAGTATTAACTTAACTTATATTCCATTAAAGGGAGGAGTATTGTACAAAGAAGAATGAAGAAAGGAGACAAAACAAAGTAGAAGCTAAAGCAAGAGCTAAACTGTAAGTCATTACCAGTTGAAGTGCCTAGTTTTGCTCACCTGACCACACTTGAACCAACTCGTAACTGATTTAACTTTCCTACAGGGAAAAAGAAGAAAAACAGAAACAAGCAGCGGATGCTGAAATGGTATGGGTTTCTTACATCTCTGTACCTGAAAACTATGCAATGCTTGCTTTTGTATGGATTTTCAATCCACACATAACAAACATGCTCCCGCAGCTGCATTTTTAAAGCTAACATGGCATAGTCAGAGCCTGAAAATCTGTAATATAGAGCACTTTCCAGAAAGTCACTTCAACTTTTCCAAGTGACCTATAGTAAGACTTTGTTTTGTCATGATACTTAATCTTATTTTCAAGAGACTAATTTTGTTTCAAGGATCATATCCTGAATTTAAATTATTAGGCATGCTTACCTGTTCAGAAGTGATCCTCAATGTACCACTGAGAGGATTGTTATTCTGTGGTATTTAAAGGATCCAGTAAGGATTTAATCGGTATTATATAGACTTTCAAACTGAGGTATCAGCCTTCAGAAAACTTCTGTGGAATTTAGAGAGTGTAACTCTCTTAAGGGAACAGAGTCCCTAAGTAAATGTATTGTAGTAAGCAAAGAAAATGTGAAAAAAGGTGGTGTGTTTTGGGTTTTTTTTGTTCGTTTTTTTTTTTAAAAAAAAGCAGGGGCTACACACCATGCAAGACTTGGACATCAGCATAAATAAGCTATGTAGCAAAAATGCTTGGATTACTGATGGTGCTAAGGGGGGTGACTTCAATTGCTTATTTATCACTATCACGTTGTAATTGTCTTGAGGGGAAAAAAAAGAATATTCAGGCTTGACTCTTAAACAAAAATGTGGGATTTTTTTTACTTCATTTAGAAATCTCTGGAAGAAAAGACAGGATGTCTTTTGAAATTTTCTGGTGATCTAGATGATCAAACATGCAGAGAAGATCTCCATGATGTATTTTCTGATCACGGAGAAATCAAATGGATACACTTTGTCAGAGGTGCGAAGGAGGTCAGTAGAATCTTCAATAAGGAGTTAAGGTGTCTGTATTAAAAGTTTGAATGAAAAAATGCTTGCTCTCTTATGTAATCAAATAAGAAATGGTTTATTTGACATGTGGAATTGCAGAATATTTAGAGAATTAAAAATATTCAGAGAATTCCCTTAAATTCTTTCAAAAGAACAGATAGATTCCAGCCTTCTGAGTTGATCAGGTCAAAACTGAGACTGAGAATGTTTGTTAGGACAGTCTGAGGGTTTTGCTTCAGTCTAGACATATTTTACATCATGACAATGATGAAAATGAAGTAATGAACTTGCTGTGGTACCTAACAGGGTATGTTGTTCATTATTCTAGCTGAATGTTTTCATAGTATGATTCAAATGCAAATGCCACTCTTCTTTTTAAGGGAATTATCCTATTTAAGGATATTGCAAAAGAAGCTCTTGAAAAAGCCAAAGAAGCACATAATGGAAACTTACAGCTTCGGAACAAGGATGTTACGTGGGAATTGCTAGAAGGAGATGCAGAGAAAGAAGCTCTGAAAAAAATATTGGAAGATCAGCAAGAGTTGCTGAAACAGAAAACAAAAGGTCCTCCTTTTATTAGTTTAAGCATTTATAATGTCCTAGAAGTAGCATTGTGTGAAAGTAACTGTAAATAATGAATACATACTGAATACTAACTGTAAAGCATTCTTTTTAGCTTGCCTGTTGAAAGACAAATGATAAAGTTCCTGATGTATCCCCACAGGACGCAAAATTAAAGGAAAAGGAAGAGGGGGAAAGATACCTCAAGGTGCACACAAAGGAAAAGTACAGTTTCAGGGCAAGAAAATAAAGTTTGACAACGAAGAAGAAGGTGGTGAAGATGATACTAAAACAGGTATGTCATTCTGTGCAGGGGATGCAGCTGCTTTAGTACATGGAGCTACTTTCTGGAGAAGTACTCGTGTTTCTTACAAGTGTTTCAGATTTGGCCCTACATTGCAGTATCTGTTGTCTTGTCAGTATCAGTAAAGTAACTTCAAGGTTCTTGTGCTTGATTCCTTCCAGAACTGTCCAAAACCCATACTAAAATAATTACTAGATAGTTGAGGCTGTACTGCAGGGCTGTTCAAAGCATTCTGCATTGAAGGATGATGGTTGACAGCAACATTACACAACTGTACAGACCCAGTCTCTTTAGTGGTGATTTTTTTTTTCCTTGAGGATATGAGAAAACTAATAGTTCTGCATATTGGTATTTAGCTTGGAGAAGGTGAAGAGCTAAGCTTCTGTTCATTAGATACAGCACCTGCTTAAAAAAAAAAGCTAGTGAAACCTACTCCTGTTAGATTGTATTCCTTCATCATATTACTTGCCGTCCTGCTGTGAAGTTATATAGGGAAGAAGCTATCCAAGGTTGGTATTTTAGAACATCTAAAAGCTTTAAGTCACAGTAATAAGTAAATGCTTTAGTATAGCAGTGGCTGTGAATAAGCTAGGAGTCATCCTTGAACTCCTAAGGTAGGAAGGGTGTGGTTTTCCGGAAGATTTCAGGTAATACTGAAATGTGTTCCTTTACCATAAATGACTACATATTCAATCTTGCAGAACCAGCAAGTCCCAAGAAGAGACCACTAGAGGAAACAGAAAAAGAAGAACCTGCACCAAAACAACTGAAAACAGAAAACGGAGATGGAGATCAGTAATACTAAAATAATAATAAAAAACCCATTGTTTTTATTGTTCCATTTTCAATAGATTTAAAGACATGTCTCAGTTCAGGAGTTTCTTGGCAGAAAATCTAATGAAATCCACTTCAATGTCAACCTACAATAAGAGGAAAGCTTCACATTGGGTTACAGCTTTTTTTTGGTTGCTGTTTTAAGAAGCATGCTTACTCTTAACATACCACCCAGGAAAACTTTATATAGTTTTGTTTATACTGTCAGATCCTCTCAACTTCTCTGGCATCTCATTCAAATGTAAAAGGTTCTGGACTTTGTAATCTTGCGGTTATGTTAAGTAGCAGCTGCCAATAAATTCAGAACTTAAAACTGCTTACTACTGAAGCCTGGATGTTAATGCAGTATAAAGCTGTGAAGTAACAAAGCTGAAGGACAGACTTCCATCATTTAAGTTCAAGTCACCAAAAGAATAGGTACAGCTGAATAAAACTTCTCGTTCTTTGCTATTCAACATACCTAACTCTTCAAATCTTGGTCTACTCCAGGATTCTCTTTACTTCCCCTATGGTAATGGGATATGTGTCTTCTAGGCCAGCATTCAGCACCCAGGAACTTGCTTTTGGGCTTAAGCTTCCCTACTCTAACATCCTGACTAGATCTTCTCTTGTGGGATGAAGTGCACAGTTTCTTCCTGCTTCCTCTTAAGATGGTTATGTGACTGATTTCACTGGCTGTAGCTATTTGCAGTACAGAGCATAGAACACTGAAGTAATGCTACAGCTGTAAAATCCTCCTTACTTTGTCCTTCCTTACTTAATTCAGTCTGAGTTCCGGACAGGATCAAGCAAATAACTATTAAAAGTTGAATCAAGGAGGCTACCATTAGCTTTCTCGCATCAAGTCGCACTGTTGGCTTTAATCTTTGTGTATAGCTTTGACTTGCAGTACAATGATTCTTTTCCCTGTAGTAACAGCAATGGAACTTGATGCCATCACAGTGAACTTCTTTCAAGTGCTGTTGAGCATTCCTTATCCAGTACATATTAACATAACTTAAATTTTAAGTAGAATTTACCTGCCCTGTACAAAACAGAGCATTTTCTCAGTTCGGTTTTATACTTACTGATTTCTTCTTATGGAACTTGTATGATGCTGGTAGGTCATATCTAAGTTCTGTGAACAGTACAAAGAATACTTTGTTACACTAGAATGATTATTAGTCAATTGACTTACACTGTATGCCCACATTCTTCTACTTCTGTTGCCCCTTGACTAGGTAACTGTTTTGACCTCTGGACTAGATTATGACTGAATATTTAAGCTGACCATACCAGACAGTAAGTGGATAGCTGAAATGCAGTTGTGTTTCAAGCACCTGTGAAATTCCCATGTCTCAAGACTGTATAAAGCATCCAGCTGGTGACATTTAAGAATTCAGAAGATACCTGCACAACTCAGAAAAATACTTAGGTGACTGTAACAACAGGATGCTTTTTCGTGGCACGACTAACCTGCACTTTGCTTTTGTTCTTCAGCAACAATTTCCTTTTGAAGCAGGACGGTAGGTAACCTCTGCTTGAAGGCAAAATCTAGTCCAGGAAAATAACCAATTCCAATTCTGCACAGAATATGTATTTCTCATAGCTTTATTAAGTGCATGCTTGTATTCTAGCCAAGTAGCAAGGTATGTTAAAAAACAAAACAAAACATACGGTCATTTTCAGTGTTAAATCACACCTCAGGCTGTTAAGAGTGGCTAGTAGTCGTAGATATTAGCCCCCAACAAAATGGTGGGGGGTTTTTTGTTAACAACAAATTAATCTTACCTGCTATGACTTCCATCTTCACTTCCCACTCATCTGCTTTTTTTTGAATGTGCTACAATATCAGATACAGGTAAATTTAAAAGCTTGTTTCTACACTGTTACAGACATCTACACCTCTGTACTTGAGAAGTCTCCTGTGCTTTTGTTTTTCAAGCTAAAACATTAGCCCACATACTTATCTTGATGTATATGAGATCACAGTTACTTGACATGATCAGCAGTATTACCCAAAACAAGTTTCATACCCCATAGAGGTGTGAACAAATCAGCAAAGCTAAAGACAACATCATTAAATGCCACCTATTTCATTGTTTAATGAAATAGTTAATGATCGCCCTACTGAAATGAAGGACTTACCTGCCGTGTTGAAGTTTTGTGAAGGGAATATACAGCTGTTTTTGCCATTTGTAAAGCAGTTTTCAGAAAAACCATATCCATTCCTAAAAGAATGATGAAATTTTTAGAATTGTTAAATGCTGGTTTAAACTAGAGGATTTAAAGATCTGTTTCATGCCTCAATTTTTCTGGAGTAAGAGCTATTTGAGAAATGGCACTGAAGGTACAGAAAGTATTTCTAAAACTTACCCAATTGCTCTTGGGAAAAGAGAAAAATTATATGAAATAGCTAGTATTGTTTATTTCAAACCCAGCAACTGTTAGTTACTATAATGAAGTTGTTAATCCTGACTTAGGAAACTGATTCCAAATGAACAAAACTCTAGGTAATTACAACAAGTAAGTGTAATAAGGGAGTCGTTTCGTTGATTTCTGACTTTCAGAATTACCAACCTTTATTATGCTTGGTACCAAACGGAGGGTTCATAATAACTGTGTCAAAAGTCTTTGACATGCTGTCAGATAAAGAACAGACATCACACTGAACCATGTTGATGTTCATGAGCTCGAAGTCTTCAATATTGCTATTAAATATTTCCAGTGCATCCGCATCTATGTCAAACCCCACACATAATCTATTAAAAAAAAAATTGCCACATATTAGTCTCCTGCAAACTGAAATGGTGTTTAAATTGTAAAGTTTTGAAAAGGATCTGTGTACACAACTTGTTTTATCTAGGAAATGTAACAAGCATACACTATAAATTCAGTGCTGATTAAAAATGGGAGTAGCTCTCTTGCCCTTTCTCAATTATCCTTTTAAAGATTGTGAAGGAAGTTTCATGTGTTCATTTAGTGCTTCAGGGGAAAGCAACCATTATGACTTCCAAATTCATGCAACTGTTTGACTATTTGAATGGTTATTGACTGTCTAAACATATTAAATAGCCTCATTATGCACCTTATTAGATACATAATATTAGTTTAGTTCAGCATTGCTATGTTCTAATCTTATTTTCTACTCTTCTATGCCAGAAAAAAACACAACTAGAACTTGGTATTAAATACTTACCCTGCTCCTAACATTGCACTTCCAATGCTGAGCATGCCACAACCACATCCTAAATCTGCAATTGTTTTGTTCTCAATATCATCAAAAGTATTGTGAATTGTATAAAGCATACATGCTGGGGGGGGAAAAAAAACACAGGTCAATAATACCAAATATGCATCTAAGTAATCAAGAAAGCTACTTCTGCCTTCAGAAACACAGGTCAGTAATACCAAATACGCATCTAAGTAATCAAGAAGTAATCAAGAAAGCTACTTCTGCCTTCAGAAAACTCTGATTTTCTGTCATGCAAAATTAAGCTGATGTTCTCACTGCTTGTAAGTCTCTCTTTTATTAATACATGAAAACAAGTCAAACATTTTGATTAGTTCTAGAACTCTAGATCTTTGGTGGAGAGATTACATGTAGAGCTGTGAGTAGTGTTTGTGGAAAGAGTATGCCTCGAAATTTGAGGAAAAATAATAGAAGGATGTAAAATATTGAAAAAGTCATAATTAAGGTATGGGTGAGTGTCTTTATATACACTTTTACTGGGGTTTTTTTGTGTGTCATGAAGTAAGTCCATTCCAGCTTTCTCATTTACAGCTCAAGACATTTCTATCATGACATTATCTTTTAAATCAATGTGCTTGAGTTTTGGACTGTACATTATCATTACACTTACAATGAAAAGAAGTTAACAGATAATTAAAAAATAATGAATTACATTCCTGGCTGGATACAATTTCTTGACTACTTTTAGTGTAAAAGCTTCAAAGGAGATAATGCCGTAGAAACACAGAGTTTTTTTTATTTTAAAGTGCTGATGAAGAACTTGTAAAAGAGACAACAGTGCTGTAGGTAACCTCTAACCTGCGATATGAGGCCTTGTTGGATACTGTTCAAGGAGTAGTTTTGGACTTTCAAAAGTATCGACTTGCTGAAGACAGCTTTCCAGTTCTTTAAGCTTTAATTTCTTCATGTTTATAGTTTAACTAAAGGAAATAAAATGTAATCAGTTACAATAATATAAATAAACTATGTATTATCTTGCATTATTTTATACTTCCAATCCCACTGTACTCCTCGGCATCTCCCGGGTGTTTTCATGCGGCTGCTTTCAGGGATCCAGCTGAAGGCGCGCCGATGCTGGGGGAGAAGCGCGGCGGCGGCTAACGCCAGGCCGTTCCC